TAGTGGATTACATTTGTGAGCAAGAAGGAACGAAATATCTGCAGTTCTTAATCCATGTGGATAACGGATAATGATATTGGTCCAGAGATGTCTATGCTGGTCGTAAGAGGATCTAAGAACAGCAACAGCAACAACAACCAAAACAGCGTCGTTCCTGTGTTTGGAAGCTCACACGTGCAGCTCCCAATGTCAGTGAGCGTGACCCAAGTTCTCTGTCAGAACCCAGTGAACATCTACAAAGGGGTCATTCGAAGCTTGTTTACAGTCCTCTATGAACGAATTTTACGACCTCGTGAGCATTCAACAACTGGAGTCATTTGAATTCCCCTGCATTATAAAGGTATAGGCAAGCTTGTGTGTGTTGGAAAGTAATCGCTTGAACGGCGATATAAGAAAATACAAACGAGTTGGTTGATGTTCCCCAGACGAATATTATCTGCAGATTACACACACACAACACAGAAAATCGAGAGAGAGAGAGAGAGATCCTTGGTGTTCAGTTGGAGGCGGATCTAGGGTTTTTCAAGCGAAAAAGCTGTTACAGAGACAGACTAAACAATATGGCGTACATCCTTTAGGTAAAATATATTGTGAGAGGTATATTGAAGATTAATATTGTCAGTTTCATTTCAATTATTTCAAACGTTGACTTAAGAAAAATATTTCTTTTTACATGCTTTATAAATTATTTGATTTCTGGTTTTTAATGCATATGTCCTTTAACGCCGATCTCAGCAACGTCCCAGAGACGTTAGGGCTGTTTGTAAATCATAAAGTCTGAGCATGACCACTCCTAAGAGTCAATCAATTGATCCGTTTTGTTGACTCTTGAGATGAGCAAGAAACACATCCAAGAGTACATACATACATACATACATACATACATACATACATACATACATACATACATACATACATACATACATACATACATACATACATACATACATACATACATACATACATACATACATACATACATACATACATACATACATACATATGGTCAGTAAATACAGTGACTTAGATGGTAATTCACTTTGAGTATTGCTATCTCACCGGAATACAGATTCATATAACATAAACAGCTACAGGATGATTCTAAGACCATGTGGCGTGGAATTAGGATCTTGTGTTACAGAAAGAGCATTTCACATAATCGGGTTACTAGTATCTTGAGAAACACGAAGAACGCAAAGGTACATAAACAGCAAGCCACAAACTTAACTCTGTCAACATACTATCGCGACAGTGGTAAACAGAGGATATACTTACATTTTGACAGTTTTAACAGCGCACAAAACCATGATCAATACTGGGTTCGCCTCACACCCAAACATGACCGTGATTTCACATGGTTCCCTACAGACACATGACCGCATTCAGACATACTTCAGCAATGGCGTCCTTCAGAGATCAGGAGACCCACCAACGGTTATTCCGGCCATTGAAATGTCTGTGTTCACGGTGAAAGCATGGCTGGTTATTGCAACAATGACGATTTTGTATTGAATGGCTCTTTGGTATTCCTACAAAGTTACTAACACATATCCTTTCGTGACAGTCTGACCCATTTCTGCATTCCCTCATTGTATGTTCGTGAAGGGATACACTCTCAATGGTCTGGCAGTTGATCGTCGCTGATCTGACTTGAATGTGCACGTCGTGGAAGGGAGTTACCCTTGCTGTACCGACAGGCTTGCTGTGTCATCCATACACAGGCGTTCCTCTCGGGTGTTGGGTGGCTTGCTGTGTCATCCATACACAGGCGTTCCTCTCGGTGTTGGGTGGCTTGCTGTGTCATCCATACACAGGCGTTCCTCTCGGGTGTTGGGTGGGACATTGTTGGCCACATTTTGTCGTGTTTATGTTAGTAAACAAACATTGCCAACATGTGTGTGTCATTATGTGTGTTTTCTTCCTACAGATAAATTATCCAGTGTTTAGGGGGTGAGTGAGTGAGTTTAGTTTTATGCCGCTTTTAGCAATGTTGCAGCAATATCTCGGCGGGTGTGCTTAGGGAAGCTTGGTGTCACAATACAGAGTCGGATACGGCTATTTGAGAAAGGTGGGTGGGTGCACACTTCATTTTCACCCGTTTTCACGAGAGTTTCAGTGGTCATTTCATAAACTTTCAGGACAAACGGGGTGGGGGGGGGGGTGTCCCCCCCTGTACCTATCTCTGGATCCGCCTATGCAATGTTACGGAAGATTGCAAGATTCAAGCTGGTGGGTTCCCTTATATTGGGTGGGTATGATTGACCGAAATGTCTGTTGTCAATACAGTATGTGAGTCACGTGTGTTTCTCATGTTTCTTTGTGATGGATTGACCGAACCTCTTGTTTGTCCAGTTTCCCGGATTGATCCGTAAAATTCGGTTTTCCTGAGCGTGAGTTTCAACTGCATGCAGCTCCGTATTTACATGTACACGTGACTGTAGTTATGTCCATACGTATCAAAGTATATCCCATGTTGGAAGGGGCTAAACGGGAACGCCAGGGGATTCATTGTTATAAACTGACATCACAAGGTCCGTCCGTTCGCGGAAAGATCTTCTTGGGTTCGAACAACGTGGGACACCCACCCATAATTGGCTACAAACGGCTACACTATGTTTGGCCAAAAATATCTTGTGAATTTATTTTGTCATCATTCGATAAACTTGACCTGTGTTACGTGTATATTAATTTATCAATGTATGTGTTTTGTTTCAATTTGGTTTTGAAAATGTGAGGTCGGGCACACCCAGATATTCTGCTGCCTGGAGTATATCCAGATTAGACACACGACTCAGACACTTGAATACCTCGGCCAACACTAACTGGAATCCATGCTGGAAGTCGTCGGTGCACGTGACTATCACATGACATAGCACCACCGGGCGGCAGTCGTGAACCTACTTGATCAGCCCTTGGGTGCATACTCGATATCTTCTACGAGGTAACACTGCAGTGGGAATGTATTAAAATGCATTAAGCGTCGTTAAGTTTAAATGTATTAAAGGACGATGATTATTTAAAATGCTGAAATGTGTGTGGTGATACTTATTGTTACATCGTTCTTAGCATAATCAATAAATGTTTCGAGGATAGTACTCTTTTGTGGCCCTTTTCATTCGCTTTGCCTTTGTGTGAGATATTAACAGTATAAAATAGTTGAATGAAGTTAAAATAAGTTGAAGTTTGTGTCAAGATACACGTAAACACATTTTCATACACCTGTAACCCCCACAACATGCGTTTTGAGCATGAGTATATATTCCCGCCCATGGGCCAAATGGTTTAATAAAAGTATAAATAAATAGTAAATAATTTTGTGTTTCGAATTTTGTCAAATTCTTTGCCAGCAACTCGCCAAAGTGCGGAGAGTTTCTGCACAAAAGGTTTCCAGAATTGAATTGTGACGTATTTTAAGTAGAAGGTCCGATCCACGGGGGTCACCTCCTAGGGATGTTAGGTGACACTCACATGGATATCACTATGTCCGTCCTAAATCCACCCACCTGTTAGCGGTGTGCGATGTATTAAAGATCGATCCCGCAAATATATACAGTGAGTGAGTGAGTATAGTTTTACGCCGCTTTTACCAATATTCCAGCAATATCACGGCAGGGGACACACCAAAATTGTGCCCATGTGGAGAATCGAAATCTGATCTTCGGTGTGACGAGCGAACGCCTTAACCACTAGGCTACCCCACCACCACGAAAATATACAGACATCCACGAAAGTGTGAAACAACACTGACTAACCTGTGTATTGTTAACATATAGAGATAGCCACATTTGGGCTCATTTGGAGTAAAAAAAAATACTCAGGGCTGATGCTCTTTGATTCGGGTTTAGAATGGTCTGGATGTTTCCGGTAAAAGGAACACTTTCATTTGAACTTAATTTTATTTTGCTGACTGTATGACTTTGAACAGGCGTAATCTCGCCCTAAGGCACCAACTGGAGAAATGAAAAGGTTGTTTGTTGAGCAAATCTGATAATTTTCAAACAAACCTTTTAACATGTTAACATTTTAACACTTTCATTTAGACAAGTATGACACATCATACCTCGTCGTCTTATGTGATCTGTTGCAACGGGTGTCTTCTTAGGTGTTTGTTTGTTTAGATATATCCGTCCACGAATAGATGATACATTCCTGATCCAGTGCTCGAGTGAATGAATGAATTGAGCCTTAAACCTCTTGTAGGAATTAATCAGAAATACTATGGCCAGCGACTGGAGAAAAGCGCTACACCTTTGGAAATTGAACACGGACTATGCAGTGATGAGAGAACGCTTTTCCCTTTAGGCTACCCAAACGTCCCTTCCACTACAGCAAATCGATATTCAATCACTCACATTCTATATAGAAAAGGTGATTGTCTATCAAATGATATCACACTTCCCTTTTTACGATTGAAATGAAAGAATGTTGAAGTGGGATTAGACTAGGAGTAAGTCTTGTCAGGCTTAATGGCCAGGTTCGCTTCCCGACATGGTAAAGTACGTACAGTGTGTACTTCTATGATGAATGTTTGTATTATAAAGAAGACTCACTCACTCCGTCATTCAGTCTCACACTCACTAGCTCACTCACTCCAGTGAAATGAGTGAGTGAGTATGGTTTTACGCCGTTTTTTAGCACAATTCCAGCAATATTACGGCGGGGGACTCCAGAAATGGGCTTCACACATTGTGTCTATGTGGGGAATCGAACCCGGGTCTTCGGCGTGACGAGCGAACGCTTTAACCATTAGGCTACCCCACCGCCCCTCCAGTGAAATGCAATGTAGATGTTTCCAGAATGATCAAGAACAATCGCCGAAACGCTTCTAGACATTTCGCAAACCGAATCAGCATACCCGCATCTCCAGCGTCGTTATCAGACACCGGTTGAACAGATTATGATGCTATCATCTGCCCCATCCTATAGGGTTGGTCACTACTCACGTAGGTAGATGTGTACTAATCTCGTGCCCTAGATCTCGTCAGCTGCTGGTGACAGGTCTACACAATGAAACTGATATGATAAACTAACGTCTACTTTCTTTCCTTCTGATTTCTGATCCTGGCGGGACGTTCTGGTCGGTCCTCGTTATGGCGGAATTAAAGATGCTTTTACAGCTTTCGCTCTTGGTTACCATAGCAACATTTGTGTCTGGAGGTGAGTAGAATATAACAGCTATAATAATCATGGCTTCATAACGAGACAGTGAAAAGGTAATCGGCTAATATTTCCTATCTATGCTGATCAGTCAGTCTGGCCTGTCGCCACATGTATATATGCACATGTCAGTGCATGCATTGCCGACACGATAATGCTAATCTTCTGTTAGAGAAGGGATCTAACTGGATTCGAACTGGTAATTTAGACTTAGCACCTGGTCCATATGGCCATCTGGACAATGGCATCCTGAACCAACAGGTATGTAGCAGCTTACTGTACCAATCATCACATCCACACTATTGTTGGCACCTGATCCTAAATGTCTGATACGCAAATTAGGGGGAATTGGGCTTTGGAAGGGTAACAGGGAAGGGTTGTCGGGGATTGTACGCGGACGTACGAGTGTGTGCGTGCGTGCGTGCGTGCGTGCGTGCGCGTGTGTGTAACTGTATTGCAACGATATCTGTTACTGTTTTAGACTTCGTCATAGCCACCTCTGGCGACAAATACTCCATCAGCAGCAACAATGTCACCTGGCTCCAGGCAGCGCCGTCATACTTCTACGGGAACGGCAAACGTTACTCCACAGCCGACGGCACATTAGTTATGAGGGAATGGTACATCCTCAAGTAGCGGTATGGACAAACTTGGTCCCTGGCAGGACATGCACTGGAACTACAGGGCAGATAACTTGACCTTCAAAGCGAGCATGAAGACTTACCAAACTGACCAGCTTCCTCTTGTAATTTTCTCACAGGTATGATTTTCAATCACAATTTCACGAAGACATGAAACATATTACGGGTACCCTATTCTGTGCTACGACGTCTCAGGGATATTCACCCGATATAAGACACGAAATATACCCAAACGTCACTGCAAGGAATAATGAAGTTATTATTTAAAAACAGTTTTATAACTTCGTGCTCTTCCAACGCTTAAATGCATATCAAAGATCTTGATGTCACACAAAGTTCTTGAAAACATTTTGAAGTTGGATGAACATGAATACATGACACGTTTTATGGCTAACAACAGTTCCTTCTTTTTAATTCTTTATCACGGCGTTCTAAAGCTAATCTTGCTCCTTCATCCTTCATCAGCATTGATGATGATGAATAAAAAATAAGTTGTTGTTTATAAAGCATGTCATGTGTTATTGACGTCACACGCTGTTATGTAGAACACGTGTGTGGAAATATATAGAGACATAACAACATATTATTTTTCTTATGGCACTTGTGTCTCATCCGTGAAACTTGATAAACTCTATAGTTTCATTTTAAATAATGACAAAGGATAAGGACCCTTTCTCAAACTAATCCTCGCTGCCTGTATATAATTCTGACTTGTGTGTATTTCAGAAATACTTGAATAAAACCACAGGGACCAGATCCCCAAACTCCAACTTCACAATAAGCGGATTTCCAAGTTTCCACGTGACAGACCTCAAAGACATCGTGGGTTATCTTTCTTTTGGCGGGCAGATGATGGGGGATTTCAACAAAAAGATGGGCATGTAAGTCCATATTCCGATGTGAAATCAAAGGCGGTTACTGGTTCGAAGAATATAGTCAGATTACCAATAGTGTTGTATCTCGTATTATCTTGACAGCATTCAATGGAGTGAGTGAGTTTGGTTTTAAGGCGCTTTTAGCAATATTCCAGCAATATCACGGCAGGGGACAGCAGATATGGGCTTCACACATTGTACCCATGTAGGGAATCGAATCCGGGTTTTCGGCGTGACGAGCGAACGCATTAACCACTAGGCTACCCTCCGCCCCAACAGCATTCAGTGACAGCATGGTAAACTGTTTTTAATTTAGTACCGTTCTATTAACCATTGTTATTTCTGGGTCAAATCCAAATTTTAAGCATTTTATTTCCTGGCTGTAAATATTAAACTGTTTGCGTTACAATAACGTTTACAAAATCCTTCTTGAGGTTAGGTAGTGGTTTCAACACACCAGTAACTCTAACAGTCGTAACCCTGTCGCAAGTCTATGTAAACTATGTTTATACTATCTTTGGCTGTGCAGTTTATGTTTAACTGTTTGAGTTAGAACAACGTTAAGACCGTATCTCTTGTGTCTGCGTTCCACAAAGCGTTCCACAGCGTTCCACAAAGCGTTCCACAGCGTTCCACAAAGCGTTCCATAAAGCGTTCCACAAAGTGTTCCAAAAAGCGTTCCACAAAGCGTTCCACAGCGTTCCACAAAACGTTCCACACAGCGTTCCACAGCGTTCCATAAAGCATTCCACAAAGTGTTCCAAAAAGCGTTCCACAAAGCGTTCCACAGCGTTCCACAAAGCGGTCGTAACTCTACGACAGTCAACCTATGGGAGTTACGATGGTCTAAGCGCTGATGTATCCCTGATCCTTATGATCGTGTTACAGGTGGAGTCCCCAGACTCTAGACGTGAATGGAGGACTCGGTGGTGGTCCTCTGGTAATGTTTGACAGACACGGCAACACCATCATCATCCAAGCCTTCACCAACTTCATGGCGGTGTCCATGTACTACGATGAGACGACGTCAACAATCAACTGGGGAATTATGGGAGACGTGGACACGGTGCCCGCTGGATTTGAAATCAACGTAGTTTTATATCCCACTGACAAAGGTATCAATAAGGTACGTTTTAATGGTGTATTAGTGAGTTGTGTGGGGTGTGAGCACAATCTAAATCTCTTCAAGGCATGACGGATTGACGTGGGAGCATGCCAAGGCCGTTGGGTGTATTGCAGACAAACTATGGATCTGTAGAACCTGGCACATCTAAGGCACGTAACTCTGCTCAGATCATCTCTTCCCTTGACTGTTTATCTCATCACGGTTATCTGTGATCTGTGTAAAAGTGCGTCTCTTAGTATCCAGGAACAAGGTGTATGCTGTGCGTAGTTGCGTCCCCTTGGTGAACCAGAAACCTATGATCATAGGTTCGAATCCCGGTTCTGCTGGATTATATCTCAAGGTTTATCAGCTACATACCAGTGCTTGTGGGTTCCTATACTTCGGGCTTTAATCCCACATTAACTGACATGCTGTGATATAACAGTTCAAAGCAGAGTTGAACTCACGACAACCCGTGCATCAATACATCAAATTTTGACATGTTTCTTTTGGACATATGTGGGCCAGCTGCAGCTGCCCATAGTACAGTTCAAAAGTATACAAACGTCAAACTTAGTGTTGGCATAGATCCCTGCCTTTATTACTGAAAATAGCACATTCTCAGATGTTCTCTCTCATTCGCAAGATATATACACATCAATATTTCTCACAAGACGTTCAAGGACATGAGAGTATTAAATACTTGGCAAGTAGGACATGTATGGCATTTTGAAGGTATATAGAGGATGTAGAACGCAACGTCACAGAAGAAACGTGTCGTTATAGCATTGTTCACGTCACTATGTTGCTGTTGGCATCCTTGTCTCGTGAAACAATGGTGAATCTGCACCCAGGTCAATCTGTGGTCGTGTTGCAGCGCCGGCTGTGGCTGTAGAGTCCGATGCGGGATCGGCAGCTCCGCTGTCACTATGACAACGTGATATAGGGTATCGTATGAAAAATATTAACCCCGATATTTTCGCCCTCGTAGGTAATAAATACTGTTATTGCGTTATCATACATCTCACACACTTACAGAAAATTATATTGTCAATGTAAACCTGGCAACAATGGTGTTTGATAAAATAGCTTTGATGATGTTTTATATCTTCTTGACGAGTATGGTAGCTACAGCAAAACCTACCTAATGAACGTCCGTTTATTAATCGATATCAGTGAATTGGAAAACATTTCAGAGGTACTTATCAGTGAAGAATGCCTACATGCACATATGAAATTCATAAACGTGAAACAAATTCAGACAAAACTTATCCTGGAAGTAATATATAGATATTAAACCATGCTTATATAATAGTAGCTTGATTATTGAAGCCTAGTTACTTTTACCATTATTTATTTCTTGAAACAGCGCATCGTAATAATGTCTTGGATTCATTCAGGCATTCTTGACAATTATCAATAATAACTTAACTATCGTTTAGATTGAATCAGTAATGGGTGTCTCCCACATTCTCTACTTACAATATGGGACATGTGAAGATCCGAGTTAGATATTGTGACTAACGGGATCGGGTGGTCAGGTTCGCTGACGTGGTTGACACATGTCATCGTATCCCAATTGCGTAGATAGATGCTCGTGATGTTGATCACTGGATTGTCTGGTCCAGACTCGATTATCTACAGACCGCCGCCATATAGTGCCAACAAGCCAACAAGCCAATCAATCTTACAATATGATCTGGATTTTATTCAAATTCCTTGGAAATCTATATAGATATAGATATAGTTGTTTGCTGTCAGCTATGACAACGGATATTTTGTTGTTTCTAGGCATTTGAGGACCTAGGAATGCGCATGCGGTATTGGTACGACAAAACCGATTACTTCAAGAAGTTGGATAAAACCCTCAATTATCTTGGTTACTGGACCGATAATGGTAAGGGCACAAATCAATATTAAATCTTTGTAGAAATGTTTTATATGTCTGACGATTTCATTTTTTGCTACACAGAGTAATGTCCCTTGTCAGTTGTAAGATTGTGTCAAAGGTTATGTGTTTGTATTTCCTTTTTGTTTCGATCATGACCCGTGACCATCAGTCAGATTGGGAGTGACTCAACTCTCACAGGATCCAAAATATATATCCAATACAAGTTATGACTTCATTGCCATGTAACTGGTTAAGGCGTCGTAAAATTCCCCCTACTGCGTGACATAAGACCTCTGAACACTGGATCTCGCATTCGTAACTACTCGTGTCATTCCGGCAAGCCGGATGGCGTCTCGTACCCCGTTCGGGGCCATGTTTACGACTGGGCTCTGTCTAAGCGCAAACGGGCATGGAGATGAAAATAGTCTAGTACTATTACCAAGGAAAGATAACTCTGAATTTCCAAACATGGCTTATAGAATATCCTATATCCCGTGGGCAAAACAGCAATACAGTCATTCCCGTTGTAAATATGTTTCAGTGTTTAAAGTTTCTGATCCTTTAGCTCAAAGTTTATGTTGAATTGTGCTTTGAATAGTTTAGCGATGTTTCAAACTTCAACCGTGCCGTCATTTTCATGCTTCGAATTGCGTTTTACTACGCGCGATTTGATTGGTTTGCCACGATTCTTGGCAATAATGGCGTACGATAGGGGTACGAGCCTTCTTGTAAGTCACGGAAAGAGGCGAGTAGTTACGAATGAGTGATCCCCATATCATTATCCAAACATCTCTTGTTTTCACGTCTCCTCTGTCCAGGCGCCTACTACTATTACCACACCGAAGACAACACCACGGACTACGAGCAGACACTGATCGACGTCAAGTCCTACAGCGACCAGATTGGGATACCATACAAGTGAGTCAGTCGCTCCTCTCCCTAGCGCACACACAGACGCACGCCCCAACGACGTTCTGAAAAGTGCACGTGTTTTGCTGGAAGTTTGAAGATGATAACTATCAATTTGAATTTGAATCTGAATTTATTTCTCGAAACACCACCGACGGTTGTACATGAGAATACAAACTTAGAATGTTCATATAAATTAACAGTGCACTGCCCTTGATACTGACGGTGCCACTACTTATAAATGTTGTTTTCAAAGATGTTTTGTATGCCGTCTTTGGGAAATACGCCACGCATCTTGATGACAGACCTTGCTATATTTGGTTAGTGTTGGCTTGTTTAAGTTGTTAAAACTTTATTATTTATTATTTTTATTTTCAACAGATACATGCAGTTGGACTCCTGGTGGTACTACAAAGGCCCTCAAAACGGTGTGACGTCATGGACAGCAATGCCGAAGATATTCCCTAATGGTCTCCAGTAAGCTGTATTATAAACTTCAGTAGCTAGTCTCACAGTGCAGGTAAATAACACACAGAATCACTAGAGTCTATCCCAGATTGGCCAACAACGTGGCGGCCTTGACCATCACGCGCGAAGGAGGACATCCGTTTCGCGAACATCTGCAGTTAGTACAGAAACGTTAAGGAGTGAGTGAGTGTGTATGGAGTTACGCCGCTTTTAGCAATATTCCAGCAATACCACGGCGGGGGACACCAGAAATGGGCTTCACACGTCGTACCTATGTGGAGAATCGAAACCGGGTCTTCGGCATGACGAGCGAACGATTTAATCACTAGGTTATCCCACCAATCCGTTTATAATTCAGATCTGTTTGGTAATCAAATCGCAGATAAAAACCTGTACAAGACTTTAAAACCGGTAAGAAAGAAGAATTATATTATTTGTTAGAACCATGATAATGCCGTATAATAACAACAACAGCGGGAGAGTTTGTTGGACAACGATAAAATGAGTGATGATGGCTTGACCATCACGCGCGAAGGAGGACATCCGTTTCGCGAACATCTGCAGTTAGTACACAAACGTTATGGGAGTGAGTGAGTGAGTATGGAGTTACGCCACTTTTAGCAATATTCCAGCAACATCACGGCGGGGGACATCAGAAATGGGCTTCACACGTTGTACCCATGTGGAGAATCGGACCCGGGTCTTCCGCGTGAAACGCTTTAACCACTTGGCTACTCCACCACCCCGCGGCGTTAACGACAAACAAACTAAACGCCATGGACGTTGAAAACTGACTATTACTTTACACGATATTGTTTTGTGCATTCGGTGTGCTTATTTCAGGTTCCTTCATAAAAAGCTTGGTCTTCCGCTGGCTGCCCACAACAGATACTGGTACGTTTACTTGTTTCAAACTCTATCCAGTATATTAAAGTTGCAGCTCCCAACCACGGACATCATATACCCAGGCTTGATATCAGTAAACAATACAATATAATACTTGTAGATAGCTCAGAATAACACATTCTGTTTCTCTGTCCCGCGTAAGCCTCGTGCTAAAAGTATTATGGAATTTTTACACTCTAATATGTAGCCTGATATTATTTTATTTTATATTATGACCAGTCATGTTATATTTCACACAGGTCCCGCAATGCAACGTATGCCAAACAAAATGGCGGGAAGTACAACTTTATTGAAGGGCAACTTATGGCTTTACCTGATGACCAGGTGAGTTTCACACTTACAACATCCCCAACATAAAGGCTATCTATGGTCTCCAAGGTTAGGTCGTGTGGTGTGAGAGAGTTCCTTTGACGCTGCCTCTCAAGGTAACAGCTTCGCGTATAGGCCAGATCGTACGACTTACCTTAAGGATTATTTTACGACGAACGTATCTTTAACTATTCAACTGTTTTGGGGGGCGGTGGGGTAGCCTAGTGGTTAAAGCGTTGGCTCGTCACGCCGAAGACCCGGGTTCGAATCCCCACATGGGTACAATGTGTAAAGCCCATTTCTGGTGTCTCCCGCCGTGATGTTGCTGGAATATTGCTAAAAGTGGCGTAACACCAAACTCCGTCAGTCAGTCAACTGTTTTGGGGACGCCAAAATCGCCAGAGTTATCTCCCTTATAGTCGGATAGGCTTGGTTAAGTTGGAATAAAACAGACTGTATTTGTTATGCGTTTTGTTTCGAATAACCCATTCATCAAATATCAAATAATTACATAGGTGTTTAGTCACATAAAACACTTGGATTCCCTTGGAAATGTAAACACTTTGATGCGATTATTACACGTTTCTAACCGAAAACGCAGATGCAAGTTTAATTCTGCACGTTTTCCGTCTATTCAAATCACGTTACCATGGTAACATCAGGCCAGGTACCCTAGTTATCTGTAACTCCGGCTAAGTGCATGCATGACCTATTATTTTTCTGAACTTTTCCAAACCTAAATACCATTTTAAAACATCCTTTTGTGCGTCTATTTCCACTTTAGACGTTGCTACCATGCTGCCTATATCACAAAATGTATCTTATTTTATGTCACATAATGGCGACTCTTAACCCATATTCCACTCTCTAATTTCAGTCTTTCTGGAATGACTTGTTGAAAACAGCTAAAGGCTGGGGTCTGATACTTTACGAACAGGTGAGTGACAGAAGCGGTAGTAGAATCTCAGAGTTTATCCGATCTCGCCGACAAGTGAGCTGAACGAACGTAGCGACGTTAGACGTGTGTTTAAGCGTGCGTGCGTGCGTGCGTGCGTGCGTGTGTGTAGCGACTTGTCTGGATTTGTTTATTGCCGCATTTGTGGGGTTAGCCCAGTAAGATACCTGGATACCTGGACACCCCACTCAAACATGGTATACCGAGTCCAAGACTTGCTTTGTCGCCATAATACTGAGCGCAAAACTTTGACGTTTTATGGTAACAGGGTTGGAACCATGGACCTTCTGCCCCTGTAGACGCTGTATTGTTAGGGTAAACGCGGTTATTGGTATAGTTTTTATTCCCTTTAGTTGTGGCAGAAATAGTAATTGTTTTACTACCGCACATACAATGGATAAACAACCACGTGTCACAGTGACTGCATTTGCCGTTTTTGGTTTCTATACTTTTGGTCGGAGAACGTTTTCTTTGACGTATGTTCGAAGACATAGCTTTTTATATCTTTATAAAGAACATACACAATACTATAACACAGTTGAAATTAGCCAACAGTAAATTAGAGTGGATACATGTAGGTATGGACAAATAGGTAAAGCCAGGAAAACATCGGTTCTGATAGGTGATAAGCGTTAGTGGACAAATAAAAGCCATTGTGTTAGTACTGCTGAGTGATTGGCAATGAACAAATCCAAGCCATCTGTCAGCTGTCAGTGCTATCGCCAATAGGTGCTACTTAAATCAGTGCTTCCTGTTTGCACATATGGATATCAAACCGTTAGGTCTTTGTTGTTTGATGGCCGTGTTGTGTCGTGGCAGGACTGGCTGAATGCCCAGCTTATAGGACTACAAGCCTTGCAAGATGACCTCACACTTGGTCAACGGTGGCTGGAGCAGATGGGGAAAGGTGCACTTAAGAATAACGTGACCATCCAGTACTGCATGTCCCTACCTAGAGAAGCCCTACAGAGTCTGATGGTGCCCACAGTTACACAGGTGAGTCCATCTCCAGTTCTTAATGTCCCTACCTAGAGAAGCCCTACAGAGTCTGATGATGGTGCCCACAGTTACACAGGTGAGTCCATCTCCAGTACTGCATGTCCCTACCTAGTGAAGCCCTACAGAGTCTGATGGTGCCCACAGTTACACAGGTGAGTCCATCTCCAGTACTGCATGTCCCTACCTAGAGAAGCCCTACAGAGTCTGATGGTGCCCACAGTTACACAGGTGAGTCCATCTCCAGTACTGCATGTCCCTACCTAGAGAAGCCCTACAGAGTCTGATGGTGCCCACAGTTACACAGGTGAGTCCATCTCCAGTACTGCATGTCCCTACCTAGAGAAGCCCTACAGAGTCTGATGGTGCCCACAGTTACACAGGTGAGTCCATGGTGCCCACAGTTACCAGGTGAGTCCAGTACTGCATGTCCACTGAGTCCCTCCAGTACTGCATGAGAAGCCCTACAGAGTCTGATGGTGCCCACAGTTACACAGGTGAGTCCATCTCAGTACTGCATGTCCCTACCTAGAGAAGCCCTACAGAGTCTGATGGTGCCCACAGTTACACAGGTGAGTCCATCTCCAGTTCTTAATGTCCCTACCTAGAGAAGCCCTACAGAGTCTGATGGTGCCCACAGTTACACAGGTGAGTCCATCTCCAGTACTGCATGTCCCTACCTAGAGAAGCCCTACAGAGTCTGATGGTGCCCACAGTTACACAGGTGAGTCCATCTCCAGTACTGCATGTCCCTACCTAGAGAAGCCCTACAGAGTCTGATGGTGCCCACAGTTACACAGGTGAGTCCATCTCCAGTACTGCATGTCCCTACCTAGAGAAGCCCTACAGAGTCTGATGGTGCCCACAGTTACACAGGTGAGTCCATCTCCAGTACTGCATGTCCCTACCTAGAGAAGCCCTACAGAGTCTGATGGTGCCCACAGTTACACAGGTGAGTCCATAATAATCCATAATACCAATACCATCGTTTATATAAAACATATAAGTAAACAGTATACAATTGCAAACACCATCTAGAATTTACAACCTACAACGCATTTAGCATAGATGTTCTCAATAGCATTGAGTAAAGAGCGTTACACATGTAACGTCGCCACCTGTAACACTGTCCACATATCCATCAGGCACGGGCTAGTGACGACTACCAGCTGCTAGATGACCAGTGGAAGATCGGCATCACGTCACTCTTCGCCTACTCGATGGGACTCGCCCCTTCCAAGGACACATTCTGGACAACGGAAATACAGCCCGGAAACCCATACGGTGAGAGTCCACCAATGCACAATCTCATCATAGCATTTCTTACTGTAAATACTGTAAAAGAGTAAAACCTCTTCACCGAATTCAGACCCAGTTAATCCAGAAACGTCATACCTACAGTGGGACATTACTCGACACCTATGATTCACGGGTGAGCGACTCATTCCATCGAAACCACCGCTTGCTTCTATAGAAGAATGTGTGAAAATGAAGAGGGTTTCCAGAGCTCGTTGGGGGTTCTGGCTTGCAATCTGGGCCACCTATCAAACATTCCATATCCATTTTTTGTTCATTTATATGTTTTTTATAATATTTATCGCAGGTCGTTATATGTGCTGTAAAAGTCAAAAAAGCTGCTTTCTGACTGGCTAATGTCCACTCTTTGTTGTAAGGGGATATCCTCGGGTCATGGCGTGCCGTAAAGAGTCCGAAGATCTGATTTTTATAGGTTTCAATATTTTTATCTGTACTGACTTGACTTTATTGTTTCAGACAGAACAAATGGATCTCACACTAAACCAGGAGATGTGTCTAGAAGTAAAAGTAAGTATTTATGGTTTGTGTTATGTATGATAGAATATATTATTACACTTGATCGTAATGGGAGGAGTACATGTATGTGTTTTAATATTCTTTTCAAATCTAAAGTGTTGTTTAACACATACCACCTTCGGTAGCACGGTAGGTGAGGTGAGGTGAAATTGGGTTTAACGTCGTGCTTGAGAATATTTCGCTCATATGACGACGTGCATGCGTGTGTATGTGTATGTGCGGCTGCTTGTACTAGCCCAGACTTAAGCTGGTTTTATAGTGCTAGCCGACTGAGATACCATGCCGCAGTGAAGCATGAATACCCCACTCAGACACATTATACTGACTCCGAGCCGACCAGTCCTTGTTGTACCCATTAATGCCGAGCGCCAGGCAGGGACCAACAAGTACCATATTTTAACGTCTTTTGGTATGACGCGGTCGGGGATCGAACCCGCGGCCTTCCGCTCTCCGGGCGGACGCTCTAACCACTACATCACGGAGGCGGTCTTCGGAGCACGGCAGGACAAACCATTACAGAGTTACGTCCCTTTCAATTGCCTTGATCCGAAGCGTTGTTATCACTAGTCCATGATCTGTATATTCGTGCCTGTAGTTTACACCACAGTTGTGCATGGGTGACGACATGGTTTTCCTCCCGTATTAAGCTGACATAACAACATCACAGTCGCATCACTGTTGCAGCAACATTAGCAACCACGAACCGCCAGTGTGACGAAATGTCTGACACGTATGGCGTCAAACTATCATGGAATAAGTATACGAATAATGTTCTGGCTATCGTGAGTAATATATGTAAGGTGTCTATTGATTAGCTGATACTTGCCTGATGTCGAAATTATTATAAGATGAAGATTCTACAAATCAAGAGATGTGCGTGACAAGACGTGTGTTGTTGTTGATATATATTTTCTCCATTATTTTTGTTTATAGATTTAAAGGTACGCGAGTTTTAATTGGTAAAATATCTTTCAGAATGGCCAATGGTTTTCCTGGATGAGAATCAGCTATAGCGTGACCTAATTCTATGTTTTTAAGGAAATAGTTTTGCCACTCTATTTACCATGCCTAACTTTCAAACTCCACATGCATAACCAATGTATTCTTTTGTGTATAGACGCAACAGAGCCGTACCCTATCATACAGACTATAGTGGCTGTCCTCAGTACAGGGCCTGTTGGACCCGGCGATATGATCAACGGCACAGACAAGGATCTCCTAATGAGGTTAGACCGTACCTCTGTCGTACTGTACCTCTGTCGTACTGTACCATCGAACGAAGGACACTGGCATGAACGAACGTTGTGAATATTACCATAGCAATCTATAATGAAAGTAAAATAGCCATAATGACAAATCAGATACTGGAGTTATAAATTGTATTTAGGAGATAAACATACTGTGTTTATAAAGAGGTATATAAAGTGGTTATATACCTCTGAATGACTTACATTAACCAATCACAATCCAGTATTTACTTAAGTCATGGTAGAATACTGATTACACAAGGAAATATCATTTCCGTAGGTTTTCGACAACCTAAATTGTGCGATTGTTACGACAACTGCTGAAGACCAATTACATTAGCAGTATTTGTAGCGACCTGAGCAGGAATTTGAGTTACTGAGATTGGTTTCAAGCGGCGGTGAACGATTCATTTCAACTGAACGTCCTCGTTCTGGCAGAAACTGCACCTTAATCGATGCAATAGGGATGTGAAACCTAGCATAATTCTGACTTGACAATTTCTGGGCTATAGACCAGACGTCCTTCCATGCCAACAACAGACACACTACTCCTTCCATGCCCACAACAGACACACTACTCCTTCCATGCCCACAACAGACACACTACTCCTTCCATGCCCACAACAGACACACTACTCCTTCCATGCCAACAACAGACACACTACTCCTTCCATGCCCACAACAGACACACTACTCCTTCCATGCCCACAACAGACACACTACTCCTTCCATGCCCACAACAGACACTACTCCTTCCATGCCCACAACAGACACACTACTCCTTCCATGCCCACAACAGACACACTACTCCTTCCATGCCCACAACAGACACACACTACTCCTTCCATGCCCACAACAGACACACTACTCCTTCCATGCCCACAACAGACACACTACTCCTTCCATGCCCACAACAGACACACTACTCCTTCCATGCCAACAACAGACACACTACTCCTTCCATGCCCACAACAGACACACTACATCCTTCCATGCTCCACAACAGACAGACACACAACTCCTTTCATGCCCACAACAGACACACTACTCCTTCCATGCCCACAACAGACAGACTACTCCTTCCATGCCCACAACAGACACACTACTCCGTCCATGCCCACAACAGACACACTACTCCTTCCATGCCCACAACAGACACACTACTCCTTCCATGCCCACAACAGACACACACACAACTCCTTCCATGCCCACAACAGACACACTACATGCCCACAACAGACACACTACTCCTTCCATGCCCACAACAGACTACACAACTACTCCTTCCATGCCCACAACAGACACACTACTCCTTCCATGCCCACAACAGACACACTACTCCTTCCATGCCCCAACAGACACACAACTCCTTTCCATGCCCACAACAGACACACTACTCCGTCCATGCCCACAACAGACAGACTACTCCTTCCATGCCCACAACAGACACACTACTCCTTCCATGCCCACAACAGACACACTACTCCTTCCATGCCCACAACAGACACACTACTCCTTCCATGCCCACAACAGACAGACTACTCCTTCCATGCCCACAACAGACACACACTACTCCTTCCATGCCCACAACAGACACACTACTCCTTCCATGCCCACAACAGACACACTACTCCTTCCATATTCGTGCCTGTAGTTTACACCACAGTTGTGCATGGGTGACGACATGGTTTTCCTCCCGTATTAAGCTGACATAACAACATCACAGTCGCATCACTGTTGCAGCAACATTAGCAACCACAAACCGCCAGTGTGACGAAATGTCTGACACGTATGGCGTCAAAATGTCATGGAATAAGTATACGAATAATGTTCTGGCTATCGTAAGTAATATATGTAAGGTGTCTATTGATTAGCTGATACTTGCCTGATGTCGAAATTATTATAAAATGAAGATTCTACAAGAGATGTGCGTGACAAGACGTGTGTTGTTGTTGATATATATTTGCTTAATTATTTTTGCATTTAGACTTAAAGGTACGTGAATTTTAATTGTTAAAATATCTTTCAGAATGGCCAATGCTTTTCCTGGACGAGAATCAGCTATAGCGTGACCCTAATTCTATGTTTTTAAGGAAATATTTTTGCCTCTGTTTATTTACCATGCCTAACTCCACATGCATAACCAATGTATTATTTTGTGTGTATAGACGCAACAGAGCCGTACCCTATCATACAGACTATAGTGGCTGTCCTCAGTACAGGGCCTGTTGGACCCGGCGATATGATCAACGGCACAGACAAGGATCTCCTCATGAGGTTAGCCTGTACCTCTGTCGTACTGTACCTCTGTCGTACTGTACCATCGAACGAAGGACACTGACATAAACGAACGTTGTGAATATTACCATAGCAATTTATAATGAAAGTGAAATAGCCATAATGACAAATCAGATACTGGAGTTATAAATTGTATTTAGGAGATAAACATACTGTGTTTATAAAGAGGTATATAAAGTGGTTATATACCTCTGAATGACTTACATTAACCAATCACAATCCAGTATTTACTTAAGTCATGGTAGAATACTGATTACACAAGGAAATATCATTTCCGTAGGTTTTCGACAACCTAAATTGTGCGATTGTTACGACAACTGCTGAAGACCAATTACATTAGCAGTATTTGTAGCGACCTGAGCAGGAATTTGAGTTACTGAGATTGGTTTCAAGCGGCGGTGAACGATTCATTTCAACTGAACGTCCTCGTTCTGGCAGAAACTGCACCTTAATCGATGCAATAGGGATGTGAAACCTAGCATAATTCTGACTTGACAATTTCTGGGCTATAGACCAGACGTCCTTCCATGCCAACAACAGACACACTACTCCTTCCATGCCCACAACAGACACACTACTCCTTCCATGCCCACAACAGACACACTACTCCTTCCATGCCCACAACAGACACACTACTCCTTCCATGCCCACAACAGACACACTACTCCTTCCATGCCAACAACAGACACACGACACACTACTCCTTCCATGCCCACAACAGACACACTACTCCTTCCATGCCCACAACAGACACACTACTCCTTCCATGCCCACAACAGACACACTACTCCTTCCATGCCCACAACAGACACACTACTCCTTCCATGCCCACAACAGACACACTACTCCTTCCATGCCCACAACAGACACACTACTCCTTCCATGCCCACAACAGACACACTACTCCTTCCATGCCCACAACAGACACACTACTCCTTCCATGCCCACAACAGACACACTACTCCTTCCATGCCCACAACAGACACTACTCCTTCCATGCCCACAACAACTACTCCTTCCATGCCCACAACAGACACTAACACACAACAGACTCCTTCCATGCCCACAACAACAGACACACTACTCCTTCCATGCCCACAACAGACACACTACTCCTTCCATGCCCACAACAGACACACTACTCCTTCCATGCCCACAACAGACACACTACTCCGTCCATGCCCACAACACTCCTTCCATGCCCACAACACCCACTACTCCTTCCATGCCCACAACAGACACACTACTCCTTCCATGCCCACAACAGACACACTACTCCTTCCATGCCCACAACAGACACACTACTCCTTCCATGCCCACAACAGACACACTACTCCTTCCATGCCCACAACAGACACACACTACTCCTTCCATGCCCACAACAGACACACTACTCCTTCCATGCCCACAACAGACACACTACTCCTTCCATGCCCACAACAGACACACTACTCCTTCCATGCCCACAACAGACACACAACTCCTTTCATGCCCACAACAGACACACTACTCCGTCCATGCCCACAACAGACAGACTACTCCTTCCATGCCCACAACAGACACACTACTCCTTCCATGCCCACAACAGACACACTACTCCTTCCATGCCCACAACAGACACACTACTCCTTCCATGCCCACAACAGACAGACTACTCCTTCCATGCCCACAACAGACACACTACTCCTTCCATGCCCACAACAGACACACTACTCCTTCCATGCCCACAACAGACACACTACTCCTTCCATGCCCACAACAGACACACTACTCCTTCCATGCCCACAACAGACACACTTCTCCTTCCATGCCCACAATAGACACACTACTCCTTTCATGCCCACAACAGACACACTACTCCTTCCATGCCCACAACAGACACACTACTCACTTTAAAGTGCATAAATTGTAGTAATTACAGAAGATGTGTGACATATTCATACCATGTAAATTTTGCAGATGCTGTAACGATGACGGGCTGATACTGAAACCTTCCCGGCCGGCGACTGCTATAGACGATCAGATAGTTGAAGTATGTTCCAGCACCATGTACCGTTAGTAGTGAGGGAGAGTGTTTCGCTGGGCAGTTTTCAACAGTATCTAATTAATAGCATGGCGTGTATGCGTATTGTGGTGATAAATCCCTCGAAACGCACTGTTGGATATTTGATGAGAGTAGAACGGATATGGACCTGTAGCAGTTAAACATATGATCATGATCAGTTCAAATCTGGGATTCGAACTCTCCACACAACGAACGGCGGCCGCCTCGACAACTATGGCCATACTCTGTGTGGCTTTGTTGGTTCATATTAGTATTAGCTGTATGGAAGCGTCAAGTATTTCAATCACAACACACTTGCTGACTTTTTTTCATTCTATATCAAGGCCGCATTCCAAGATGGCAGTGGGCCTGACGGTGAGTTGTGGACTACCTACACACATTTTGATGACGTAGACCTCAGATTCGGAATCATCTTTGCTGCAAATACGTCCACCCCATACAACATCACACGCCGAGCGGCCGACGTCATCTCCTTCCTTGATAAGGTAAGATTCGCCTGGTTTGTTCTCTACTGTGAGAACCCATGTTTGATACACTCACATAAGGAAAAACTAACAGAATAACTCCTGTTATATGAGACAAAATATTCTGAACTCACCTGACCAGTTACCTGACGAAGGGGCAAGGAAAAGCCCTGAAACTTTGTGTATACAATAAAGAACAAGTTGACACCCATAATATTTGTTATAGGTTAACCATTTCTGTAAATAACAATTTTCTTCCTAATGACGGTATATTCCATGTAGGGATGAATAACGCACAAGCCAGGGGCGGATACAGGTTTTGAGAAGGTATTGGTGCACATTACTGAGTCACCCGAGTTTCAATGGTCATTTAATAAACTTTCAGGACACTCCGCACCCCCCACCCCCACCCCCATCTGGATCTGCCTATGCAAGCGTACTGTATTTAATTCAACATGTTAGTACGATATGGTGAAAAAGGCAGACCATAATTAAATGTTAACCTTTAACCTACGCGCTTTTCAGTACCAGAGGAGCAAAATATTTCTGGCAAATGATACGAGTACGATGGTGGACTTTGACGACCTACAGCCCTTCACTGTCCCCGCATGTAGCCTTGACGATGACCCGTACTACTGCCTCTACTACACCTCGCCGGTCATCAGTGTGGGGTGGGTGGCACTCACTGGCTCATTCTGTGTCACATTGTCGAGTTCGTGTCATGTACATACAAGCTCGTATTACCAGATGTGATCTTATATATACCAGACGTACTTCCGTCTGATGACCATTTGATGTTCCGGAATGTGGTCGCGGAGATAAAATGGTATTTTATTCCATGGATGAGGGCATTCTGGCTCAAAGACAGTCTTATGATCTGACAAAACCTCAGAACACGTCAATTCTTCGTACAGCAATACGTTGCTCAACCTATTGATCACTCACATACATATAGACCAACTATACTGCATATATCTAATTGGATCATTACGGGACCTTAAGCGAGAAAAATCATTATGTCCAAAGTTAAACGGGGTGCTAAATGTTGAAAGGTCACGGCATATCATGCCAACGAGCAACTCTGCAAAGGGAACCACAAGTAATTTTCACTCACTTACGCACTCACTCACATGGGGAAGCACCTACATGTACCGAGAACAAATCGTATGTCGTTTTCACGTCACTGTAGTTTGAATTCTCCTGATTAAGCATTCTGTACTTTCTATTTGACATCAATCTCCTCTCGAACCAGCATCGATTCAAATGTGTTGCTGATTTATGGACAGAATATCACATGCAGTGAAGGGAAATGTTGCAAATGTTATATATATATAGTGGCAACATTGCCCTCGTTCGCTCGTTCGAGATACATAAAGCAGTGAGAGTTCTTATACGTTTCACAATTGTCTTTCATAGCTGACACCTAATTCCTTAATTTGGTACATTCTATTTCACGTGCGAGCCACTTTCTTGACAATTAGTACTCGGAAAACAACGTTGGTGTATCTGTCATTCTGTATTTTCTCTTGATAGAACAACGGAGGTGGTCATTATCGGTGACCTGAACAAATGGGTGCCAATGTCCCCGCAGAGGGTGTTCAAAATATGGGTGACGGACTCTGCAGTGGCCTTGACCTTGAGAGGCACGCCATCGGAGGTAGTGACGCTTTCCTACACCGTTGACGGTAATCTGACGTCAGAATCGAAAACCTCCAGTTCCACTGGATGCTCAAACTTCCTTCTTTACGAGGAGACCGGAAGTAGTTTTACCTTCCCATCCAGCCAGGACTGCACATGGGATATAACAACAACAGTTGCACCTCCGACGCCGCCAGCAACAACGTCTACTCCACCGCCGAAGACAATGTCGACAACGCCGAAGACACCGAAGAAACCCACAACACCAATGACAATAACGACTACCCCCTCCGGATCGACGACGTTGACAGGGCTAGTGAGCAGTGTTCTAGCAGCCTTGTTGGTGATGACAGTTCTGCACTGAACGAGGACTAATCGCTGCATTCCATCATGGGTTTTTATGAATGTGCTGAATAAAATATCGTAAAACCATTCACAATCATTTTGTTCATGTGGCCATTATCGTGATAAGCGGGTGGTAATAAAAGATATATTTATAGTGTGTGAGCGAATAGGGGTTTTACGCTGCTTTTAGCACTATGCATATTCACAGGCCACACCATCGTTAAAGCTGTTAATGGGTCAGCGTACTCGATTTCATTCTCATCTTTCTATCAAGTACGCAGCACAAGGTGCCTTGGTACGAATCATCAAATCTTACAACCTTGGTATAGGAGCCGACGATGTAACTCGGATCCGGCTCGCCCATGGGAGGTAATCAAGTTTTGGCTAAGCCGACGGGGTACGGCGTCGCTCTTTATTTCGCCTAACATTAGTTAGGATTCGTTTAAAACATTCGACACATCTGATAACACGATCACAATATCGCAATACAAGGCAGTTCCAGATGCCTCATTGGGAATGATCTTCGTCGTCAAGTTAGCACTCACTCACTCACTCACTCACTCACTCGAACAGACGCATACATTCAACCGGTTATTTGCATTATCTGCATTAATTGTTTGATCGACATTTTTAAAAGTTGTTGCACTCACTCACTCACTGTTGTACTATCTAAATGTATGCATCTTAATAGAGGTGAGACGTTTTCAAATATCTTGTCTGTGCTTTAATGTGCACTCTCACAGAGTTTTCACAAATCCCTAATTCTCCTCTTTCATAATGTCCTACTACACTGCTCTCATATTCTCATATCCAACACTGCTTCCTTAAACGGGAAACAGCTCAAACACCGGCAACCAGGATCGAAGTCTGTCGTCATGTGGGCAGTGGTTATTTTATATGTTTAGGTAAGCCACATCAATGTACGGGAAGAAGATCCCCGCAGCCCCCTCCTCCGCGATGCAACCCCCGCACCAATACATCAGCGGCAGCCAGGATCAAAGGGCTTGGCGTGTTGCCTGACTCCGAGTCGCGTGAGATACCCAGACAGGACAGAAATTAATAACTCAGGGCATCAGCAGGATATTAGTGTGAGCTGACGATTCGTCTAGCTCGTCCTCATGATTCGTCGTCCACATCGTAATAATCTGTCAGCAGTAGAGTAAACGTAACGAAATGGACGTATTATTATTGTTACAGTGAATATCAAGAGCAGCGTCATTCACTAAACCGAACTGAACGGTTGTATCTGTCAGGAACCACGCAGTATTGAAGTCTGAGAGGGTGCGTGGGTGCGATGTGTTTAAAGCAAACAATCTCTCCCCGAAACTGATATAATGAAATTTGTATGTACAAAATATCTCGGAACATGCTATATGATCAGAAAATATGGTAAAACTTGTATTCTTTGAATTGCTGGGGTGGGGATGGCGAGACAAAAGTCTTAGGCACCCCGAGAATACTGAAGGGTTAGCTCCTTGTAATTTGATGAATCAGTGTATGTGGTCATGTGTCACCGCGCTGCAGGTAACTGCTCACCTGTACATATATACATTACACTCCCTATACAGTTATAATTGGGAAATCTCGAGATTCTGTTGATTCTTGAAGTAGAATGATAAAAAAATCGATTTATTTCTCCGACTTACACAAATCTGATGTATCATTTCTCTGTAATTTTGCTGAATGGTTTGACTCATATTTGACTCAGGTTTTATACGTGTTTAAGTTTTACTCAGCATGGTCAAAGAATTCCTTAAATCTATATCAACAATGACGTGACGTCACCATACAGGTGAATAAATCGCAGTGGTTAATGTTGTCGTATCGGGAGTATGAACGCCAACTGACATTTGGCATTATATGATGTACTTTCAGCTGACTGAGGGGCGCTGGGGTAACCTAGTGGTTAAAGCGTTGGCTCGTCACGCCGATGACCCGGGTTCGATTCCCCACATGGGCACAATGTGTGAAGCCCATTTCTGGTGTCCCCCGCCGTGTTATTGCTGGAATATTGCTAAAAGCGGCGTAAAACTAAACTCAGTCAGTCAGTCAGCTGACTGGTGTTTAATCTTCATTTCTGCCGTATGTGGCACACAGTGGCTCCTCGTTCATCACGATCGCAGCAATCCCGATTGCCTCGTTTGAACGGGAAATTGAAGCGACTCTCTATTATGGCGGTATTGCTATTATTTACTATGACACGCAATACTAGCATATGATACTTACTTACCACAAGTAACAAATCGTAATAGTTTTAATATTACTAAGGAATTTCAGTAGGATTAGTAATGTAATAGGAGCAGTAGGGTAGCCTAATGGTTAAAGCGTTGGCTCGTCAGGCCGATCTCCCTGGTTCGATTCCCCACATGGATACAATGCGTGAAGCCCTTTCCAACAATTGAAACTTAAAATAATTTGGATACAAGGTAACAATGACGTAAAATAAAACAAGTTTCAGCCTTAAAGCAAGCTATACAATTTTGCTACCGTGTGAATAAGGAGTTTCACAATCCATCACTTCCTGTTATATTTTCAGGACGGTAAATATGCTGATGACTTTGTAGTTTTTCGCAGGATAAAGTACGTCTATCCTCGATAATCTCCAAGGTATACGTTACGATAAATCTCCACTATACCATGGATGCATCTACGACCCCATGGTTTTATTACCTCTCTTGGATGGCTTTTTATCCAATCAGGTGTCTACGCTGGGAAGTTGAGCGTACCAATCACAACTCACTTTCTCTTCTTTTATCTAACCGATGAAACTTTACAACATAATTCTTGCAGAGGTACTCTGAAAGAGGTACAAAGGGTTCTTGCATATATTTTTTAAGGTTTCAGACCTGTCAATTTGTCTGTATGATTTCCACCAAAATCTAAGTCGCACTGCAAACAAACCTTCGCGGCTGCGACCGCTATCTTTGTTGACATTGACAAGCTCGGATGTAACGCCTTATCTGATTGGCTACTGTGAGAATGCGGAGGCAGTAAAGGGAGGTAATAAAATTATCGGGCCGAGCCATAGATGCATCCAGGGTACTAGTGGAGATTTATCGTAACGTATACCCTGGAGATTATCGAGAATGAAGTAAGTTTTTATTCGTGCAAAATGCAACGGCGATAGGAGTCAAACCAGTTTCAGAATGTTCAAGAACTTACTGCAAAGGTTAATGTTAGACCATAACTACGATATAGACGTGACATTCCACTTTAATAAATCGATTTTACGAGACCTATGAACTTGTGGACACAATTTGCACATGTAAACAGTGATTCTGCCTTCCCGATGTTTTCACGTGATAATAGAAAGTCCGAGTATGTGTCTAATAAAAATCATCCATGTAAGCGAAATGAGATAACGAAATTGTCCCAGGCAATTGATTTTCTCAATTCCTGATGGCTTTATTTATATTCGTCTGTATAGTTCCACTCGTCACATTCACAAACCGTAATGTCCTCCGATCATGTATTATCTTACAGATCTTCATGTACAAAACACCAGTACCTCTACTTAATAGTGAGTGAGTGAGTATGGTTTAACGCCGCTTTTTGCAATATTCCAGCAATATCACGGAGGGGTACACCGGAAATGATTTTCGCACAATGTGGGGAATCGAACCCGGGTTTTCGGTGTGACGAGCGAACGCTTAACAAATGGGCTACCCCGACACCCGCGTATAGAGCATTTTAGTTAACACGTAGACACTAAAGGCCTGAGCTGCTGGAATCAGACACCTATAGTGGCAACGGTTCTTGTAACTACAATAATTCAAAAATAATTCGATACGTGTTAATCAATACTATACTACCATTATAACACGAAATTAATGGTACATACATATATGTCAGTACCATGCCTAGCAATAAGGGTAAATAGATCCAAAATACACTCACAAAACCTCACCCCTAAAACCAAAACACAATTAGTTCGTACATGGGTACAGAAAGGGTAGCTTCTATAAATGACGTATATTACCTACGTCTTCTACAATGTGCCAGCTCGAGGTGAAAGGCAGAATATACAGCAATGCTATTTCATCAATACCCGAGCTATTGGCCTCTCCAATCTGACAGTTATCAAAAGCCACGACACTAATGTAAACCGACAATCACTGATTATTGCGCAGCTGGTTTTGACACTTTTTGCTGGAAATTGATGCTGTTTAACACACGTATTGTATGCTTCCTTCATCAGTTCCACCGTCGAGTCGCACCACTTGGTACATTACGCGTAAGTACACGTACCGTGGCTCTTTTCATTTGTTAAAACTTATCTAGGTCTTAAGTGGGTATATTTGTAAACTTTTCTAAATATTATGTCCTACTTTTATGAAAATGTACGTGTAAGTATATATATTCCAATACCACGCTTCGGGTTGTTCCACTCCTTGTTCCATTCCTTGTGGATGCTCCGTCCTGGCACAAACAGCTTGTATTTAACGACACGGTGACATACCGTGTTGCTCCCTGTATTATCGCCTTCGTCATGTGTTGGTAGAGTTGATCCCAATGTTTGGCCATGCAGGACTCCCAGACAGAAAAATAATTCTGTTGTGAAAGAATTCCTAACAATCTGGTATCGATGTTATTTTTTACAAAAGCAATGAAGTTATTTTAAAAATGAAATTCCTGCAATGTTACTATGTTCAGGAATAGCATGTCAAATGGACTTCACATTTGAAATGTCTCAAAATATATTATTATTATTGATATAGGATATTTATATAGCGCACATATCCAGGCAACTAGTGCATGCTCAAGGCGCTGGTATTTTCCCCTCGATCATTGGATGTCAATCTCTACGGCACATCGTATTATCAATCTCAACTCCCTGGGGAGTATACAACTCTATGCAGCCACTAGGCGCACCGAGTTATTGTGGCTTTCTCATCCTAACGCGGTACCCATTCACAGCTGGATGGACTGGGACACATAGTCACAGTACTTTGTCCAAGTTTACTGCACGTTGCTGTACCCGCAACTAGGTGTTTGCAAGTATATATGTGGCCACCATCTGGTCATATACCAACGGATTCATGGGTTCTTTTAAGTGCACAGGGTTGTGTACTGTACTCTAGGGGTTGTGACAACACTGAAAGAGTCTGCACACAAAGTTGACTCCAAGGTTTTTACACCCGGTCACAGGTGGGCTCGATCCCGACACCTCAACCTCGCTGGTTCATTAGCCTTGCGCCTTAACCAGCTCGCCCACTGAGTCGTCCGACTCCCAATGGTCCTGGAGCCCTTGGTTTAGTGCCTCCTAACCTCTGTAGTGCAGATCAGGAGTGTTCTCTGACCTGATTCTCCACTGACAGCCCAGTGCTCTTCAGTCAGTGTGGATACTGTACAAGGCTGCTGTGACATGGAACTTTTTTAACGTTTTTGGTTAGTCCTACCAGGCAGCTCGCATGCTGGGAGAAGACCCACACTCTATTGGACTGACTGACTGAGTTTAGTTTAACGCCGCTTTTAGCAATATTCCAGCAACATCAAGGCGGGGGGACACCAGAAAAGGGCTTCACACATTGTACCCCTGTGGGGATTCGAACCCGGGTGATCGGCGCGACGAGCCAAAGCTTTAACCACTGGGCTACCCCACCGCCCCACACTCTATTGGAGCTGTACGAAGACGATGGGGGGGCTCTGAGCTGACGATAGGCCACTTCAGCCGAGTCCCAACCCCACTGCAGATATATCGTTATCTTTGAAGTATAATTACTAGAAATAATAACAGCCATCGTTAACACATGACCACCACAAGGTTACCATGCAATAACACCACAGTAACCATGGTGATGGTGAGGTGGGCATAAGGAACTGAGACAGCGTTATGATGGCATGGGGTCATGTTGACATGCTCGGCAGATTGACCACTTGTCGGTCTTGCCCGAGACTGAAGCACATGTTCGAAATACACATGCTCATAAAGCAGCTGATGGGTACCCCGGGAGGATGATTGGTGACTGAGGAACGTCTCACAGACAGCTTTGGGTGTATACTCTCCGAAGGTCTGAAAATGAAAACCGAGTATATTGCGCTGTATAAATGCTGTTATTAACCAACTGATTGACAGGTGGTTGGTGACAATGAGAGTCGCCGTGTTGTTGCTGCTGTCGTGTTGGTGGAGTGGCGTGTCAGCGGAGTGCGTGGTGCAGGACCTTGAAATACACAAAGAAAGTGAGTATAGTGTACTGTGATGATGTCATACATATACGGGTGGATTCCAGATACCCAATGGTTATATAGTTTTATACGGGTTTGTTTTAGTGTCAGGTAATGGCTCACGGAAGTTTATAAGTGGTTGCAACATACATGAGTGGCGTCGAGGCCATTGTACCTGCGTGGAACTATGTTTTGGATAGCACTCTTTTGGACCCTCGGTGAACTGGCTGGGAGCGATTGGGACTGTTACGGGCACGGAGGAACACATCTCCTAACACATAACCAGTTGATTCATCGAGGCGTCTCATTCGATACGCATAGGTTACTGGGAACACAGTGCTAGGTGGAACCCACACTGTACTGGTGTGTAAGAGATGCAATGTATGACGGTGTGTGACAGCTGTGATGTTGTGTTCCAGATATGCTGGAGCTCATCCTGGATCTGGTTCTGTTCAACGGGGAGGAACACCATATGGACAATGGCGTGACGCTGTCATGTCAACACGGAGTCCTTCAGGCCAAGTTTAGGTACTTGTAGTTTCACAGTTCAGGTCATATATAGAAACACTGTCATTACCGTTCGTCTGTATATTCTTACTGTGCATTCTGTACCTAAAGCTATGGTTGTGTGGAGCGCAATAGTGCAGTGGTAAGTCGTCTGCCTATCACGCTGAAGTCCCGGGTTCGATCCCCAGTGGAGGCACCTAGGTTCGGGTCCCGAGGTGAGCACATGTGAGCGTAGTATCCTTAGACAATATACTTAGATCCACATTGTCTCAGTTCACCCAGCTGTAACATGGGTACCCGTGAGGATGTGCTGGTAATGTGAGTGTTTAGTTCATTGCGCCTAACAGGCAGCATGGCTGTATGATCCCCAGGGAGTTGAAAAAGTATCGGAAAATACGATAGTGTCCTATGACCGGGTATATGTACTTTCAAATATTTTTTTAAAGTTTCAGATCTGTCAATTTGTCTGTATGATTTCCCCAAAAATCTGAGTGGCACTGTGAACAAACCTTCGCGAATGCGACCGATATCTTTGTTGACACTGGCAAGCTCGATTGCAGAGCTCCAGATAAGATTTAGCTCATGTGGGTACTGTACCCACTGTATTTTTTTGGAGTGGGTATTATGAATGTACCGTGAGCAGGCAATGCGCCTGGATATCTTCCGGCAGGCGACATAGATCCTGTATTTGTTCTCTACACCCGGGTTCGAATCCCCAGTTGTGTAAAACGAGTAAAGCTCATTATTGACTTGCTATTGCAATAATCATAACACTGATTTATTTTCTTGTTCTCACAGAGACGCAGAGCCATTGGTGATTGACAAGCAGTGTCTTACTCTGTATGTAACGAAACAAGAGGACGAGAACGTTCTCTCCTGTGAGATTCCGCTTGAGACAGAAACATGGTCGAAAGATTTATTACCCATTGGTACAGACGTACAGAGTGTAGATACCTCCGACGGTGAGGACCCTATGAGCAGGCGCCGCAGAGACGTCGGTGATGGAGCCGGAGAACGTCAAGATGAAGTCTATCTCATCAGGAACAAGAGGGTTCTAAGAAAACAAGAGATCGAACTCTTGAAGGATGGGGCTTGATAGATCAGAGGACATTAATACCTGGGCAAGGTAGAGTGATCTCCCTTCTATTAAGGTTGAAAAGTCGAGATAAAATACATTTAAATACGATTTGTGTTTGTTTTTGAGTTGAGACAGTCGATAATATAGTATACAGATATAATACCAGGTCTGAAAACTGCTGAATGTATAGCTAAATGTCGTCAACATCGACGTTCCCCCAGACGTGTGGAGTTCACGACCTTGTCGTCCCAGGTGCCACAATAGTCTGCGAAGAGTAACGTACCTTAGACGAGTCAGGAATGAATGATAGTGGGTTTGATCCCGGATTCCCTGGTTCTCTGTTGACCAGCATGATACCGCTGCTGACAGAGTTTCACCAACCTGATACATGTCTCAGGCTAGCTATCACTGAGTCAAGCTGAATGGAGCGGTGTACTTCACACTCACTCACTCACCCACTCAAACACTCACTCACTCACTCACCTACTCAAACGCTCACTCAAACGCTCACTCACTCACCCACTCAAACACTCACTCACTCACTCAACCACCCACCCACCCATTCACACACACACACTCACCCAGCACAAGCACCACCCACCCACCCATTCACTCACACTCTCACTCACTCACCCACTCAAACGCTCACTCACTCAACCACCCACCCACCCATTCACTCTCTCATCCACTCAAACGCTCACTGAATCGCTCACTCAAATTCACTCACACACTCACCCACTCAAACACTCACTCACCCACCCACCCACCCACCCATTCACTCACTCACTCACTCACACTCACTCACACTCAAACGCTCACTGAATCGCTCACTCTCACTCACTCACTCACTCACTCACTCGTTCCGGAGCACACTACTTTATAATATCAACATATAATATGTCATCGCTGTCACCACTATAACTCCCTCCCTCCTCCTCAACATAATCCTATTACAAAAATACATTTAATTAACCAACTACACGCACAGCTGCTGGGGGGGGATGTTTTTCTTCTTGACAACTCTGCAATGGGATCAATACCACTCTAGCGTCTCTCCCAGGCGTGTTACAGCAACACACACTTATTGTATGTCACACAAGGTTCGTAACCCAACACCCACCTCACATCTCAAATCCATACACTGTAAAAATGTAAATACTTCCAGTTCAATTAGGAAATTTCAAAGGTTAGAATAGCAATCAATCCAGTGCGCCACGCTGCATGCCGCCATTTGTACAACACGTGTGCTTGTGTCGTGTGTACCTGCATTCAGAGCCGTTATAAATCAAGGATCTATCACCAAAATCAACACATCAGCTGCTACCTGCACGGCTCCACAGATCATGTTTGTGTATGCATATATCACGTATCATGTTTGCGTATACATTAGGGAATCAACATGGGCGGAAAAAAGATGTATCAATAGACATGTTTCTCTTATCAATCTCAACTCTCCTAAACTTTTTGTATGAGTAGATTGTCAACGGAGAAAGTCATGGCTTAAATTAATCAGATCAGTTTGTTTGTGTTTTGGCGCCTCCTGTGACAAGTCATGTAAGGCTGAAGGCGACCAGAATAGACAAACAAATTGGTTCTAACAATTTAATTCCCTATCAGTTTAAGTATACTTTCGAGTGACTCCAAAACAATCATGTTCTAGTGCGGATCAAAGTTCAGTGTTTGTAATCTTATTCACACCTCGACTATCAGGTTTAACACTTTATAGTTTATGTTCTTTGTTGCAACTCGAAGATTGTGATCACAACTGTCACAGCTAACATATTTTGTCCAGAAACGAGTGGTCAATTATTGCGTGTGTTATTTTATTAAAAAAACACAGTCTTTCGCCGTACAATGCATCCTACACGCACGGAAAACGGTTTCATTCTAAAGTGATGTATATTGGCTGGTAACAGTGGCCGAAGACCTTGGTGATTGTGTGCCTTCGCAAACATGGATTAAGCAACGTCCAAACATTTGACAACTTGTTGACAAGTCTAGATGTGATTTGTAAAAGATTCTTTCTGCACCATTTCGGTTACAAGGTACATTACAATGTCCTCACTCCACGATGAGACGCAAAAGGTTTGATTGCCATGACGATCGGACTTTGTTTTCTTTTTATCAACAACACGCCGTCAATGACGAAGACGTAAATATTTCACCTTGGCGGTATGGTTCCATATTTCCTACTCAATCAAAATCCCTTCAACGAACAAAAATTAATATTTTGGGCTGTTTTCCACCGGACGTTGAAACAAGCTTGCATAAAATCATTCTACACCACAGCTGGTGTTTCCGGTGCCTGAGTACTGTTGAAATCAATCCACGAATACAGTGAGTGGGTGTCTGGGTCTGGGGCTGACATCTGTGACACACAAACTGACAAGATCATTGTGACGTGAGTGACTTCTCAGGGGAGTGAGTGACTTAACCTTTACGCGGAGGTTGCAATATAATCTTACATTTGTATAGTGTACCAGTATTCGATCAACGCAATACCGCATATAAGCCAGATTAAGCTTTGAGTGAGTGAGTGAGTTTAGTTTTACGCCGCACTCAGCAATATTCAAGCTATATGGCGGCGGTCTGTAAATAATCGAGGCTGGACTAGACAATCCAGTGATCAACAGCATGAGCATCGATCTGCGCAATTGGGAACCGTTGACATGTGTCAGCGAGCCTGACCACCCGATCCCGTTAGTCGCCTCTTACGACAAGCATGGGTTACTGAAGGTTCATTCTAACCCGGATCTTCACGGGTGGTTAAGCTTTGAAACAAACTAAACCTCCAAGTTGAATTTATCATATATTGATTTTCATTTGAAAGATCTGAAAAGCATGAACTGTATTGACCCCGTGTGGGCACTCAATGAATATTTCTACATGGTTATATTTTTAAATCTATTTGATTCAAAACAAATTTATTTCCTGCCAAAGACTTCTTTTCACAAATCGATTTTACACGAAATTACATAGCCATGGTTGATTTCCTTTAACACAGTGTTGAAATACGTGATGGTTAAACAGACCTAATCAAATTAAACAGCTGTTCTTTCAATTTTCAATGACATTAACAACACACTCAGTATTCTCTATTTTGCCCGTCCGTTTATGGGATGCAGAATGACAGGGGTTACTAGAGGGATGTAGGAGTAGCCTGGAGCTGTAGCAGCCTGTAGTTGTAGTAGCCTGGAGCTGTAGCAGCCTGTAGTTGTAGTAGCCTGGAGCTGTAGCAGCCTGTAGTTGTAGTAGCCTGGAGCTGTAGCAGCCTGGAGCTGTAGTAGCCTGGAGCTGTAGTAGCCTGGAGCTGTAGCAGCCTGTAGTTGTAGCTGCAGCTTTTGGCTGATTCATCAGATTGTGACGTGCAGTTGTGTGAAGCTTACCTGGAATACACCTGTCATCCGGGCATTTTATGAAATATGTTTGCATTAAAACTGATAACGCGTAGGTAGTTGACTTCGTACAATATGCACGTGTCAATATCGGTTTTATCAGTGTCAAAGTGTCATGGCAATATCTAAACTGAAATAACACAGGAAGTTGTGGGTGTTCCAATAATATGATATATTTTCAGAAGCAGAGTGAAGTTGTTTCAAGGGCGTGCGTCACATGGCTGTGCACACTGAACTCCAATAACAGGCTTGCTCGAGAATTGTGGTTGACTTAAAATGAGGCCGTTCCACAAACTGGGTTTGGAAAACGTGTGATACACCGTCATCACAACATCGTATGTGTTCAAATATCATATCACCGACATATGATATACACGTTGTATAGAGACGTGCTGGTAAAGACATACACAAATTGTTTATTTAGAAGCGACATAACATTTCCACGTATGTACAGATAGGCATATATACATCGTATGTATATATATATGTAGGTATAGATAGATATACACATTGTATACAGAAATGTTAATGCAGATAGATTAGATGCTGGGGTGATATACAGACAGAAAGCGACTTAACACGTTCACTGCTTACCACGAGTATACCCATGTTATCAAATGTAACAGAAGTTGCCACTACGAATTATCTCGTACCTACATCAGTGATATTTTGAAACAAGTTTCACGTGTTGGCAAAATAGGCACAAGAAGCAATGGTCTCCTGGTGGTAACAGAGAATTAATGTAGCTACGAGATAACTTGTGGCGGCAAATTCTGTTACAGTTGATAACACGAGTATACGCGTGATAAGCAGTGAATGTGAAACCATTCCTAAAATCTTTGAAATCTAAAAACAAATGTTCATCGTGCGATTTCGACAAAATCAAAGCAAGCGTTCATGAATCACTATGGGACAGTGATGACACCAGGTGTTCATGGAAAGGTCAGCTGCACTCCTGACTTCTTCCTTCTTCTTCCTACTTCAAGTGGGAATTGGCTATTTCACCATCACAGCGATTGATGCAGCTGAAACCCATGTTCAACTCCCACTTCCGGTGTTCTGCTTGTTTCCAGTCCAAGGTGAAATTGCGGTGTACAATCCTGAAAACAATAAAGACGCAAACGATGAATAAGTTTTGGAGAATCGACATAGCATTAACCGTACTTGTTTCTGATATTATCTGTGAACATAGACGAAAATACATTCATGGTTATATTTCGGATTATGGTTAATCTGTGAGACTCACTTTTGGTCCCACCAGTACCTCTCTCCTTGCACTGAAACCGGTACAAAAAGTGGGCATGTCGTCTTCAGGTTGTGGAGTAAGTTGATTGAAAACTGATGCACGGCTTGGCAGATTTCGTCTTCAGGGACAGACAATTTGATTAGGAAATATTCTGGAGAGGGGAGCTGGGAGTCTATGCTTGAACTGGTTAAAAAATGTTTTAAAATAAATTAAGAAAACCATTCAGTTAGTAGCTAGTCTGTATATTTTCTCATAAGCATACACAACATAAAGACTCGGCTCACCAAGCTGTGTGTAATACACTCTTCAAACAAACAAAAAGAAAGAAAAAGAAACGCACAGCCGTTTTCAGCATTTCGATATATTTTGACAGCAATCGTCATTAAGACAATTCCTATGTTTAAATCCCGTTAATCATGTCGTGGTTGTTGTGTATTGCCCCTAAACGCATCCCAAAATGTGTTTGG